GGGGGGGTGTAAAAGAAATAGGGGGGGTTACAGGGGGTCATGCCTCCCTGTTTTAACCGTTAATTTGATATTTTACAGTTATATTTGAAGTTTTCTTGAAAATAATTGATTTGCGACAGTTTTAGTGGCTTTATGGAGAATCTATGTGTGATCTGCAGCAAACAGTTCTGCAGTTTGACCCCCGAAGCAGTGCTTCTGTGTGCGGGAGTGAAAGTAAAAATTTACACTACTTTAGGTTGCTAAGAAGTTTGCAGAGGTGTTTGGAGCCATTGCCAAAACGTGGGGGAAACACATACACCTCACATTAGGGTGGTTTTGTAGTTTTGTTCGTTAAAGTCTATGATCCATTTTTTGATGACCAAATAGGCAGCATCAAATTATGATAAAATTCAGGGGGGCCGCGCTGCCCCCCCCCCCCCCCCCCCCCCCCCCCTTCATATTTTTATTAGGTCAGGGCCCTGAAACCCCCCTACTCTTGACTCTTGGGGCCCAAACCGGCGTATAATAATTGGGGGATGGGAACTGCCGAAAGACTGCTTTGGACTTTAACGAACGAAACTACAAAATCAGCCAAAGCTGAACGCCAGAGACCCTGAATTGCCAGGTAATCATTGAGGAGTGAACTAAGCGTGAGACTGGAAGGAAACACTAATTTAAAGCCAGAAAATCAAAATTCAAGCAAAGAATGGCACTCTCTCGGCAGTTCCCATCCCCCGATTATTATTCGCTGGTTTGGGCCCATCGAGTCAAGAGTAGGGGGGTGTCAAGGGGCAAGCTGCTTGCCCCCCTGAATTTTACCATAATTTGATGTTTTGCAGTTAGGTGGCATCCCTGTTCTTTGTGTTGGCTATTTGGTCTTCAACTTCAAGACTTCCGGATTTCTTCTCTGGTCTGGATGTAAACAAATGAATTGTGGACTTTAACGAAGGGAACTACAAGATCACCTACATTAGTGGGCTTAAAACGTGATGCTTTACTTTTTATTCCGCCAAAACTTGTAGTCTAGATTCTACATTTTATAGATCTAGATCTTGATTCTAGGCCTACAACAATTAATGTACATGTCATAGGGCTGATAGGGTAGAACCTTCATTGCCATAGAGCAGTTGCCGACCCCATGTCAGTATTATAATCTTATTTACTAAATGTTGTGCCAAAAATGTTTGATTTTTAGTGATTCCTGGACTATCATTTTGAGCACACCAATCAATTCAAACTTCCAAGAATGTCCCAAATTCAGTAGACCTATTTCGGGGTATTTTTTAAATGTGCGCTTTGATTTTATGCTATTTGTCGTCGAGAAAGGTTCATTTGCTCAAGAAATCGGTTTATTTGTTTGCCAATAAACAAATAATTCGAATGACTTGTACATTCGTCATGTCGTCACTGACTAGGTGTTTCAAAAACAGCATTATTATTCAGTAGAATCACCACCGCTAGTTAAATGTTTTTGCTTTTCGTCGTTTATTCAATAGGCTACTTCAGAAGCTATGAAGAGCGAAAGCAACATTGGATACCTAGATCGACGATTTCGATCAGCTGTTTAACTTCGCCGTGATCGTCGTAATTTCGTGATGTACAGGAATTCCGAATTTTGGCGTGCATATGTTTTGAACGGATCATCAAAAGTGCCCGGATATAATTGTCTTCCAGCGGAACTTCCCCCTGAGCCGGCAACGTCAGAACTGCGGAAGCAATGGCGGAAAGAGAAAGACGTAAGTTTTCATTGTGGGCATCGTGTTTATCTACGTGACGTACGAGTAATCTAGCGTTGTTTGTGACGTACATGGCTGTTTTGTGTTTTTTTATGCTACTCTGTTGAATATTTTAGTGAAATTGCGGTGTTTACATTGGATTCTTGGAACAAGAGTGTGGTGAGTGAGAACGAACTTCGAGAGATGGGTCATTTCTGTGGCGAAACTGATATATAGAGCGTTTGTATTAAGTGACGACGCTTGGGGTGTCGTCATTCAGACATACGAGGCTGACGGACGTACAAGAAATTAAATTGTCCTTAAAGCAAACATTTTTTAAAGTCACTCAGCTCTTCTTTTCAATGTTTTGTCCATGTTTAAGAGATTGTAAATTTTAGACCTCTCCATAACTGATTTAGGTGACTGTAAAAGAAATAATTCTATGAAAAGCAAAAAGTGACATCAATTTTGCTATTGTCATTTTGACGTACAGTAAGTACAAGGCTTAAATTTTCTGGATTTAGGGAAAATGTCACTTGATTTTCCAACCAGTTCGATATCCATTCATTTATTATTGTAATCTGTGGCTTCTGTGTATCGTTGGCTAGGCTTAGTCTTTCGATCCAGATTCAAGTGGATTATTGTCGGCCTATTTGCTTTTAGTATTGATTTGTACAATACTTGTTTATGTTTCTCAGAGATAACCTTTAAGATCTAGATTCTACAATTCTAAAATATCCTATTGTTCTACACCAGCCAGTGAATGTGGATGTTTCTTAAAAGGTTTTTAATATATTCCCTTAGTTACCAACACTGATTTGAAGCACTTTTTATACATCGCTCCAGGTGCCAATGCGGGCAAGAGATTTTCTCTGGCCAATATTATCCCACGTGCAAGTGATGGGGTGAAGACGGCCAAAACAAAACATCAGTACAACGAAAAATATATGCGAAAGCTGAAAGAGGACCATGAACGGTAAGTATCATTCCATGAATCTGTGTCTGCTGCTTGAATTTTGATGGAGGACGCTTTTGAACTCAGTTCCAATAGTCTTTGAGTATTGTCTGTAGCTCTTTGAGTTTTTAAATTTTCTGTT